ACATATCGGTTGAAAGGCGAGGCTGCGTGTTTACCGCTATGACCGACCGAGGCATCCTTGTTCAGCCTCCGAAGCGATGCTGCCCAACCTAGCATTTGTTCTCCTTTTTCCTCCGTCTCTACGCAGCCAACGCTGACAAAAAAAAACCTACAATAAACACACTCACCTTGCCGCAGTTGGTTGACATTGACAGTAGGTGTATTTTCAACACAAAGCATCAGACGCAGCTGGAGATAAACCGAGCTGGTGGCTCTGCTAGTCCTTGACGTGTGGGAATATTGTTGTCTCTGTGACTGCAGGGCAGACACGGCGGTGCATCGCAGAGGGGCTGGGCCGGGGAGGAGCGTCATCCTGAGGTCACAGTGTGGGCCCAGACCATAGACTGTATATATAAAGGCCCAGACGGGATTATCTAACCCTGGGTGGGACCTCTGCCACTCACTAGTCAACTCGGCCAGGGTGGCATTTACCCACCCTACAAATATTATGCATTACATTAATGCACACCATGTGAACAACATATTGCTTTTTTTTTTAACTGTTAGCGATGTTCCTCTCTCTGAATATATGTTGCACTCTTCTGTACACATTTCTGCACAGCCCTCCCCTTTAAAATATAAAATACTGCAGTTTGACAGTATATTGTCATATATTCACTTTACCTTTTTTGTGTGTGTATATTTCAATTTGGTGTAAATACTTGTCTTTATACTTTTTTATTGTTAAAATATTTTCTTTTTATACTCGATATATTTTTTACCTTCTCCTAAAACTTATTTTCTTGTAATTTTCTAGTTTGCACCACCATACAACAAAACAAATTCCATATATGTGTAAACGTACCTGGTAATAAACTCGATTCTCATTTAGATGTAATGAAGAAATGGCTAAATTATGTTGTGAACCCGGTTATTCTACTAATTTATTTCAGATGTAGTTGTTGCGGTTGGCTTCAAAGTGCTTTTTATATATATAGTACAAGCTAAATATACAAACACCGGACAAGAGAGTTTGAAGAGATGACAACACCAGCTCATATCCAATAATAGCCTACAATATAATAAAAAAGTAAAAACAATAAATACAATTATATTTAGTACGAGTGATGCACATAAAATACATGCTAGTATGATGAAATACCAAATTACAAATAATAAAACAAAATGATAAAACCTTGTGCAATTTTCACATTGCACATGAAAAAGTATAAAAGCCAATTACTTTTTCTAAACAAAATATGAAAAAAGCAAAAGTGATGATGGAAAAGTGCTTTACATGAAGCACGATTATGTTTGGCTTTTGTGTGGACTGAACAATGTTAAGAAGCATCTACCCTGTTAAATCCTGTTGTTATGTAGCTTTGTGGTTTATGCAGAATAAAGATATTATCACTATCACTTTGAACAGGTCTCCATTGCAGTGCATTGAGTCTGTTCAAAGAATAAGGGCCTATTGGTTAAAGGGTTGCTCGTATTCTTTCCAAATATAGATTAACGAATTGACTTAAATATAAAAAACATAATGCTTATTGACCCTTGTTGTGACAAAGTCCTCAGTTTTAATAGCATTGAGCTATTCGCTTATTTCCCTTGTATGCTCACCTCCATCTGCTGGTTATCTAATGTTACTGCATATACCAAAGAAAATACCTTCAACCTTATTCTAATAGACTACTGACTACTGAGGTCAGGTCACACATGCCTTCTAGGTCAAGATCATCACACGTTTAAAGAGCAACTTGCAGGTTAGAGGCAATCATTTTTTATCTACTCTTCAAACACCTTACATTAAGATGACTCCTTGATTGACTTTTTAAAATATGTATTTTAGCCAGAAGAATAGTTATATTTATTAACTGAATGTAAATTCAATATTTGCCTCCAAATAATTTGCAAAGCATTGTGTTATGTGTGGAAACTTTTTGATTTTCTTTATTTTAACCTCTTTTCCTTTCTCTTTCTCGATCCTCCTTAGCAACGGTCATTACAGTCCTTGACAGCGGTCTGTTCTACTGGATTTACAACGTGTCACATGTTCTGAATTGACCAATCAGAACTTTATTTAGCCTCCGTATTGTTTATGGTTGAATGTGGGCCTCGAAGAAAAATGTGATTCTTAAGCGGGCCCTGAGTTGAAAAAGGTTGGGAACCGCTGCTCTAGATGAATGCCAATGTTCATACATTTCAACTGGGTGTGAAAATAAGCAACCGTTTGCTGTAAACTAGCAAGTTGGCTTGTTAGTATGGAAGCCCATTTCCGCCACTGGGAGGAAAAAATGTATCCTGTAAGACATTATTATCACTTGTTATCTCCTTATTGTTACTATCTAAATTTGACTTAGTATCTTATTTGTATGACTTACTATTTCATTGTATTTTACTTACTATATTATTTTTCGCTTTTTCTTTCATTATTATGACTTGAATTACAGTGTCATTATTATGATGATATTTATCATGATTTCAGCCACAGACTCATCCCTCCTCGGCACAGCACCAAGCGCCTCGGACAGTCCTTTGTGCCTGTAGTCATCAGGCTGCACAACAAGGGGTCAACAATGTGACAAAATTACTGGACATAAAATACACACTGCACACATTCATGTAAATATATCTAATATGTGTATGACCCAACATATATGTTCATTTTAATTCATCTCTTATTTCATAGTTTTTTATCATTTTTATTTTTTATTTTATCTTTAATCTTATTAATCTGTGTGCATCTGTGCTGTCCTGTTTTTCATTCTTACCCTGTTGCTGTTAAACTACTGCATTTTCCCACTGGGATTAATAAAGGTCCATCTTATCTTATCTTATCTTATTTCCAAAATAATGACTTGCCATCTCAATATTTTCACTTTGTATCTCGTCATGACTATGTTTCTCTGGACCGCTGGCCAGCACACAGCTCCACCACCAAGAGCGCTCTGATAGTTATTCATAATAATGAAAAAGTAAGTCATAATGAAGCAGGGAAAGCCATAATGATGAGACAGTAAAAGTGATATTAATGACATATTAAGGGTATATTTTTCCTCGTATTGGCAAAAAAAAGGCTTTGCTTTGTTTATAATCTGCACTGACTTCTGACATACTGTATCCGTCTCGAGCTGCTGATCATTAGCTGTTGCTTTGAGTTGGACACGTTTGTACAGTTATTGTTCAGAGCTTTTTCTCTTAAATTAATACAAACCAATGCCAGCTTAAAACATGTGCAATGAGACTACATGAAACTGAAAAGTAAGAGGCTGGAAAGGCTTAAAGACATTTGAAGATGGTAAGGGAAATTGAGGAATCGTTATAAACTCCACTGTATGGGTTTTTGACTTTGGGGCAATCCCTTTAATTCTTTTTAATCCATTGCTTGTATATCAAGTATTGATTTTAGCATCAACCTACTTGTCCCATGGGTGCCATTATAGTTAAAGAGTTTATTTTTATAAAATATATATTTATATATTTATTTATTTTTTGGCTCTGTGTTAGCGCCTGTCCTCTAACAAACAATACATTTCTATTGTATTGAATGTTTAGGACCTTTGGTGTATTTAATACATAAAAAATAGTCGAAATAGATGGTGACAAGAGAAGATAATATAAAGGTGACCATAAACTTCCAGAAAAGCTTGAATGTAGAAGGTTCTAAAAATCCCGTTTGCCAAATTAAAACCCATATGATTAACATGTATTTCATTAATGCCATGTAAAACAAACAGCATGTTTCTTGACCCTTTTACAGAGGTTCAAACTATAATTTTTTATTTATATATTTTTTAATATAGTCTTGAATGCAATATATTTTTCAACCACTAGATGGAACTAACTCATAAAACCAAGACTCCGTTGTGGATGAGCTACCAAATAACATTAATAAGGATATTGGCTTTGATGCAAAATATGCAGTGTGCTTAACATTAAACTATATAATTGGAGCAGTGGGTTTACTGTATCTGTATCAGTGATTTCACAAACAATTGAACACTTAATGCCAAAGTGGTTTTAGGCAGATTGTTGCAAATACTAACTTTTAAATGCAACGCTTTTAAAAGTTAGTTTATCTTGGCCTATGGTGAAGCGTGACACCTCTCAGCCAAAGGTTCACACTATTCCGCTCTAAGAAAGATGGTTGTATTAGGGGAAATATTGCAGCAAAGGAAGACATCTACCAACTAAATCATTGCAAACAATATATGATTTAAATCAACATCTTATAAAAATGAAAATGTTCTCAAAACCTTTGGTAGACCTCAATGAAGGCAAAGCACTTTAGCAAACAATAGAGCAGAGTGAACAAAGGTCTCCACTTTTTCTTAAAAAGGATTCCACTTTATTAACTTGAAAGACCAGAGACTGGCTTTATAACATAGACAATGCATTCTCATGATAACAAATAATTAAATAATAAATGGTAGAAGCTGAACTATGAGGAGTAAATGAAAATACTTTAAATTAAGGACACCTGGGCATCACAATGAATCAAGCCCCATTACTTCCACCTGTTTCCAATCAAAATATCAGGAAGTGCTGGGATTGGCTCTTAGAACAGGTTAAAACAATTGCAAGCTTCCTACCAGAGTACAACTGTGTAAGGACGTCAAACTTTTTGTGTTGAGGCACTTCAGTTTGTGTTTTGATATTTTATCTGGATAAAACCATGGTGCTTGTTCTTCGGTAACTTTGACATGGCTTCTTCTGCTTTCAACATTATACACTAAAATTACTCGTTGTTTTAATGTCTTTCTTTTTTAGTGTGGTTCTGCTATGGCTGCTAGTTATTGGAGAGCTTCAGGCAAGTATTACATTTAAGACAAAAGGTTAAAATAACACTCATTATGCAAAGTTCAAAAGTATTGTCTTTTTATAACCAAGTTTACAAATCTAAAGATCTGCTCAAAACATATGATTCATTGACTTCATGATAAAACAGAAATTGATCTTAGGTTTTTCAAAACCTAACATGGGCTAGTTAGGTTGACCTTTGTAATCCTTTCTCGACAGTTCCCTATTTACGCAGAAGCTCGTCCACAGCCAGCATGGCCCGGCCCCATTTTGGGGATCCAGTCCCAGCAGCCCGGCTACCCGCCCCGTCCTCAGGCCCAGCAGGCCGGCTACCTGCCACGTCCTCAGGCCCAGCAGCCCAGCAACTCACCACAGCCCCGTACTCAGTCCCAGCAGCCCAGCAACTCACCACAGCCCCGTACTCAGTCCCAGCAGCCCAGCAACTCACCACAGCCTCGTACTCAGTCCCAGCAGCCCAGCAACTCACCACAGCCCCGTCCTCAGTCCCAGCAGCCCGCCTACCAGCCCCAACCTCAGTCCCAGCAGTCCGCCTACAAGCCCCGTCCTCAGGCCGAGCAGCCCGGTTTCCAGGCCAAGCCCCGTCCTCAGGCCCAGCAGCCCGCCTACCAGCCCCATCCTCAGGCCCAGCAGCCCGCCTACCAGCCCCGTCCTCAGGCCCAGCAGCCCGCCTACCAGCCACGTCCTCAGTCCCAGCAGCCCGGCTTCCCGTCCCGTCCTCAGTCCCAGCTGCCCAGCAACTCACCGCAGCCCCGCACTCAGTCCCAGCAGCCCGGCTTCCCGTTCCATCCTCAGTACCAGCAGCCCAGCAACTCACCGCAGCCCGGTACTCAGTACCAGCAGCCCGGTTTCCCGTCCCGTCCCCAGGCCCAGCATCCCGGCTTCCTGCCCCACCCTCAGTTCCAGCAGCCCAGCAACTCACCACAGCCCCGTACTCAGTCCCAGCAGCCCAGCAACTCACCACAGCCCCGTACTCAGTCCCAGCAGCCCAGCAACTCACCACAGCCCCGTACTCAATCCCAGCTGCCCAGCTTCCCGTCCCGTCCTCAGTCCCAGCAGCCCAGCAACTCACCGCAGCCCCGTACTCAGTCCCAGCAGCCCGGCTTCCCGTCCCGTCCTCAGTACCAGCAGCCCAGCAACTCACCGCAGCCCCGTACTCAGTACCAGCAGCCCGGTTTCCCGTCCCGTCCCCAGGCCCAGCATCCCGGCTTCCTGCCCCACCCTCAGTTCCAGCAGCCCAGCAACTCACCACAGCCCCGTACTCAGTCCCAGCAGCCCAGCAACTCACCACAGCCCCGTACTCAGTCCCAGCAGCCCAGCAACTCACCACAGCCCCGTACTCAGTCCCAGCAGCCCAGCAACTCACCACAGCCCCGTACTCAGTCCCAGCAGCCCAGCAACTCACCACAGCCCCATACTCAGTCCCAGCTGCCCAGCTTCCCGTCCCGTCCTCAGTCCCAGCAGCCCAGCAACTCACCGCAGCCCCATACTCAGTCCCAGCAGCCCAGCAACTCACCACAGCCCCATACTCAGTCCCAGCTGCCCAGCTTCCCGTCCCGTCCTCAGTCCCAGCAGCCCAGCAACTCACCGCAGCCCCGTACTCAGTCCCAGCATTCCGGCTTCCTGCCCCGTCCTCAGGCCCAGCAGCCCGCCTACCAGCCCCGTCCTCAGGCCCAGCAGCCCGCCTACCAGCCCCGTCCTCAGGCCCAGCAGCCCGCCTACCAGCCCCGTCCTCAGGCACAGCAGCCCGCCTTCCCGTTCCGTCCTCAGTCCCAGCAGCCCAGCAACTCACCGCAGCCCCGTACTCAGTCCCAGCAGCCCGGCTTCCCGTCCCGTCCTCAGTACCAGCAGCCAAGCAACTCACCGCAGCCCCGTACTCAGTCCCAGCAGCCCGCCTACCGGCCCCGTCCTGAGTCCCAGCAGCCCGCCTACCGGCCACGTCCTGAGTCCCAGCAGCCCGCCTACCAGCCCCGTCCTGAGTCCCAGCAGCCCGGCTTCCCGTCCCGTCCTCAGTCCCAGCAGCCCAGCAACTCACCGCAGCCCCGTCCTCAGGCCCAGCAGCCCGGCTTCCCGTCCCGTCCTCAGTACCAGCAGCCCAGCAACTCACCGCAGCCCCGTACTCAGGCCCAGCAGCCAGGCTTCCCGTCCCGTCCTCAGTACCAGCAGCCAAGCAACTCACCGCAGCCCCGTCCCCAGGCCCAGCAGCCCGGCTTCCCATCCCGTCCTCAGTACCAGCAGCCAAGCAACTCACCGCAGCCCCGTCCCCAGGCCCAGCAGCCCGGCTTCCCGTCCCGTCCCCAGGCCCAGCATCCCGGCTTCCTGCCCCGTCCTCAGTCCCAGCAGCCCAGCAACTCACCGCAGCACCGTACTCAGTCCCAGCAGCCCGGCTTCCCGTCCCGTCCCCAGGCCCAACATCCCGGCTTCCCAGCCCAGCAACTCACTGCAGCTCCGTCCCCAGGCCCAGCAGCCGGTGTACCAGACCAAGCTCCGTCCTCAGCCGGGCTACTAGGCCAAGCCCAGCCAGCCGGCTACCAGGCCAAGCCCAGGCCCCAGGCCCAGCAGCCTGTGCCCCAGCCAGCCAGCTACCAACCCAGTGGCAGTTTTGTCTCTCAACTTCCTGCCAAGACTGAAGCTGTACCAAGAGAGGTTGAACAGGGTGAGTTTCCATCTCAGTAAAAAGTTGCAAATGCAGTTTCTGAGTTGATGCTTGGTTCTCATGTTTTTGCGTTTTTCACTGTTAGAATGGGACCCATCGCGACTTGGAAACTAAAGGTGTTTTTGGCTGAAACTGAAGGTAAATTCCTTTTAACAGAAAAACAAGCTTAAGTTATACCATCTTTGACGCCAACAGCCACATATTTATGGGTAAGGCCACTAATTTCCTGATCCTTGCTATTTCAGATTTCTTGGAAGTGTTTCAACTGACTGGCCTTGATAAACTAACTCTCGCCTACAGAGTCTTTAAAGAAATAAATGCATTTTACACTGATGGAAATCAAGTGTAAAAGTGTTTTGTCTTTTCTTTTTTGCTCTCTAAAGGCAGAAATGTCATTGACATTAAATATTGGGTTTAAAAAAACGCTAACATTTGCTCAATACATGACATCCTGTATAATTCACACCCACTTCCTGTATTTTTGACGAACAAGGTGGGAATACATAATGAATCTATTTAGACTAGATTTTAGACTAGAAGCTACATGTCCAAGTAATGAGAAACTTGGTGTGTGACAATGTATAAGATTTCAGTAAATGTTTTCTCTGGCCTCACACGGTTGATTTGAACTATTTTCATTACATCAACACTTAGGCGAACATTAACCATGTACAGGTCTGTGTTTTGCGCGTTATTCCAAATTCCTATCTTTACTGCAGCACTTGAATGCAGCATAAGAGCCGCCCCGCTCTACCAGATTTTTCAGCCGGTAGGTAGTTAGTCGGTGTTTGCCAGTGACAGCCATCCCTGAAACCACCTGGACCCTCTGGATTTTCCACCTTGTCCTTACATCTGTAAAAAAAAAGAAGAATGACACGTTGCAAGAAAGAAAAGGTTTTTTAAGAGTAGTCTTCATGACTGCTGTGCAACAGGCAACTGGGCTGCAAACTCACTGAAGGCTCATCGGCTTTGGAGGAACTGTTGCACAAAATCCCGCTGCGATGTCCCTGCTGTGTGTCCGAGGTAAGGTCTCACTTTATAGCTGCAGGTTCTCCTTTTTATTCCTTCCTTTTTTGTATTATTAATTCAAAATAGAAATACTCCGGCAACAAAGTATGAGCTTGTTGTGCTTGCATTTAATGATTTGATGGAGGGGGAAAAGCAGTTCAATTAATCATTTTGAACAAATATCAAAGCAAATTGTATATTGGCCTACCACAATGTTGAGAGTTTCACCTGCCTCATTCCACCACTAACATGTTGGTGATAATGTGAATCGGTAGAGATCCATAACACTTATTTCTCTTTAGACATCCAGCAACATGTGGGCAGCAAACCTTTTGAATTGGCCCTTTTTAGCTGTGTTTAATTTCCTTGATGGGATAACAGTAATTTCTTACACGTATAGTTTCTTCAATAGCCTGTTATTTATTTTTCACACACATTTCAAAATATTCTAATTTTAGCCTCAAATATGTAAGTTTCCATTCTAAAAATCTTTAAAGATATTATATTGAACTTTGAGAAACGTTTTGCTATTTTCTCAAATGTTATTGACCATTGATCAGCATTATATAAAAGCCCTTCATTGCAGGCCTACTTTTTGGTAATTAAGAAAAGGTTTACTTAAAATGTCCTATTCAGGTCATATCCTGGTAACTTTTAAATGATCAAATCTAAAGGGTTTAATTTCAACATAAATATATTTTTAAACTAGAAAATACCTATAGTACTATCAAGGCAGTATTAGTACCTCCAGGGGTCCCTGTGCACTGAGAGCTCAGGGCCCCCCAACCCAAGTACCAACACGTAACAACACTGTGCTGTTATGTTAAACGTTTGTTGTTTGTGTTTCATGTATTGTGTCTGGATACTTGTCTGTTGATGTTGGACATGGAGCTGCTGTGACGCAAGTCAAATTTCAGACTTGATCTGACAAATAAAGTATTATCGTATTGTATCACGCCTACCCAAAATGACCAATATTTTAAATTGTCATTCAATCTGGCATGTCAATCGCACACCTCTTTGGCAAAAGCAGGGACGCAGCTACATGGTTCAACCAAAGTAGGTCTAGCCTTTTGCCCTTTCAGTCAAAAATCACAAGACAAGGATACAATGGATAAGATCTCAAGAAGAAGACCTAGGTAATATAACTCAAAACCTCAGATCAGCACCCTACTTAAAATGCCAAAATATGACTGGCTGGCTGTACAAGTACACAAGGAGTTATTTTTGTCACCAACATCGAGAGTTACAAAAGTAAAACATATAATGAAAGTATGTGTTTGCTCAACTAAGTGATCAGTATGTGATAGAAGATATTGTGTGTATGTGAGAGGGAGAGTGCGTGTGAGAGAGGATGAGTGTGAGAGTGATTGTGTGAGTGTAAGCAATAGTTTTGTAATAAATCGTCACTGAGGGCCCTCTCTTGCCCAAGGGCCCCTGGGCACAATATTAAATATGAAAATACAAAGTCATCAAGTAACATGCATAAAACCCTTTATCTTCTACTTCGACAATATTTGTCAGATCTTAACCAATGTTGGAAATGTGATGGACCCCAAACATACTGACACAGGGTTTTCAGCTCTCCCTTGCCCTCGATTCATTAATATTTAACAGGTTTAATATTAGCATTTTTAAATCGGTGCAGTCAGGATAGACTTCTGAATAGATCAGGGAATGTAAAGAACAATCTGAACATAACTTACTCAACAGGAAAATATGGCAAGATAATAAATGGAAATGTATTTTGGGTAAAGGGGCTTTAAACTGGATTCACAAGATAAGCCTTGTACTTTCAAATTGTTAGTTTAATATCCTGAAGTTTTGGTTCACATATGTTGCATTGGACCCTTTAAATATGCTGGACTGCAGTCAACCATTTTAACTTAAGTTGTTACCCTGGTACTTTTTTTTTTAACTCTTAAAGTACGACAGGCTGGGAAAAAAACTGAACCATCCTGTCAGGAGCTGTTTATAATGGAGGCTGACAGGTGCACACACTACAACGGCCCCCTTAACATTTCCATTAGGAGAAATGCACTGGACTTTCAAAAACGATGAAGATAAAAAAACAAATGTGCCAAAAAACATCTTCACCAACTTGATGAAACGCAGGGTGAGCATGGTGCGCTGTTATATTTGAAATGACTAGGTTAGCTACATTAGCTAGCAAGCTTACAGCAGTTCTGCAATAATATCTGAACGAATCATGATCACATTGTTAAAATGAGCCAATACAATATATAGTTTAGTTTCCAGTGACAGTTGGCCACCTTTTATAAGTCAACAAGCGCACCGGTCCCAGCTGTGTGCCGTGCATCACTTTTTAGTGTCCCGGTTTCCATTGTGTATTGAGGTTCTTGCAGAGTTTTTTTATTTGCAGCATGTTTTTTAAAAATAATTAAAAGCTACCGATGTTTAGTGAAGTTGGTGAAAATGTTTTTTTTTTATCCAATATTGGCTAAATAAATGTATGTGCCTTATTATTCCTCAGCTATTTAAACAACTCATAGAAAATACAAATGGACTTGCACTTTATTGTAATACACTTGATCTTGTTGTAGAGGAGAGATATTGGTTCCTTAGTGGAAGTGAGGTAAAATTGAATTTGATATTGCTTCCTCCTGCCACAAGTGCTGCCCAGGTGCCCTCAGGGGAGTCACTTGGTCTGCAGCTGTTCAAGTGAAGCTGAAACTGAAAAGAAACAAGTAGCTGCTGGCAAGAAGCACATGTATTCTGATGGATAAAGCGCATTTCAAGAAAGTTTGCACCACCAGTTTATTTACCGTTTTGGCGTCTCTCCTGATTGCAAATTGCCCTTCTTTTACAGACATGCTGATTGATCTTTACACCGTCAAACTATTGCCTGCCTATCTCTAACTCTCAGCCACTAGCGTATTATTTCTCAATGATCGTTTTTGACCATTTCTCATCTCGGGTGTGTGTCTGCAGGGCCGCCACCACCTTACTCGCGTTATATAGAATGATGAGATAGGGGTGAGGGACGGAGGGGGTAAAGCACAGCTGTGTTCCAGTGGGCTTAGCCAAGTGGAATAAAAAAAAATTGCACATTTTGATAGTGTGTTCACCTGTATCAGTAAAAGTATACACACTCTTGAGTGGTAAGGTTGTATTTAGTTACATTTAAGAATGTACAAGCCGTTCCAGTGTAACTTTAGTCTTGAGGAAATATGGTTTCCATTCCAAGACTGCCTTTCCTTCTCTAAAATCGGTAAATGTTTTTGTGTTTTTCAGCATTTCATTGTCATACTGGGAACAAGAAAATCAAGGCAGCTGTAGCTCAGTATGTAGAGCGGGCTGCTCAGCAATTGTTTGTTTTAGTGATTCAATTCTCGGCTGTTTCTGTCCACATTTTGAGGCGTCCTTTAGCAACAAACGTAACCCCAAATATCTCACAATCTGGAGAACATTGGACGTCGTCAAAGGGACTTTCAACGGCCCAACATTGAAAAAAAACTGAAACGTGGTACTTTACAACTTTTGAGATTAATACAGAAGATATCTTCTTACAAATGTGTCAATTAAACATAAAATACAGCATCAGCCCTGCTCGAGGATACCAAAGGTGGCATACATTTATTTGCTAGTCTCTCTTTCAGTTCTGTAATAGCGTAAATGTAATTTATTGATTCACTACTACGCTTCCTGTTACAGTGCTTACCCAGGCCAAACCATTCACCTTTGTTCAACTTGGTCTGTTATTGTTCAGCCGTGCGTCATTACAGTGTTCCATCCCTCTGTTAGGTAATACACTACACTTAATCATCATTTCCATATCTACATCAAAGTATTGTGTGGCTTCTTCTGGGTTTTGATTTGTAACAGACAAATGTTCACATGTGGCAAAACCTATTCAGACTTTTAGTTTAAGATAAAGTTAGACTTCAAATGGAGATCATTTGTTCAGAAATCTCCTAAAATTGTACATTCTTCAACATTATTTACTTAGGTAGATCAGGTTTGGTGGATGTTTTTCCAAAGCTTCTTTGACAGCAGTGCTCACATTCATTCTCCTAGCAACACTCAGGTCCTTTATGCCATGCATGTGATATTTCCCATAAAGAAAATATGACCACCTTCTTGGTGAGACATAACCAACTTTCGAAACATTGGTTGGATGAAAAGGTCTGTCACGTTTTCAGAATTTTTGCATCAACTTGGTACCAAAGTAGAGCATCCAGACTCCTGGTTAGTTTTTAAGTAAAGATCATGGATTTGGGTTGAACGTACTACTTTGTTAAGGCAATGTGACCTTTGTCGGATGGTTGGGCAATCTACCCAGATGTTATCAACATCGTGACTAGAAATCGTCTTAGATTTTAAATATATTATGATGGTCTTTTCCTAGTTTTAAAACCTGCAATACAGTGTGTGACTTGACTGCTTTAATTGTTCTATTTTAGCCTTTTTACTACTGATTATTATTTATTAACGATATGTGTACGCCATTTGTGAAAGCCTTAATAGTCATCCAATATCATAACAATAATTCCTTACCACCATAAGTAGCCTACTGTTTTTTTGTCTTGCCATTTTACATAATCAGGGATGCAAACTTGTCACCTTTCGGCGAAATTCGCCGTTTTGAATCCAAAATAGGTTGTTTGTGTGATTCATGTAGATCTGCAATACAAATATTTTTGGGGTATGGGGGGGGTCTGGGACCCGGAGTAATCTGCGGCCGCAAGCTGCTATGTGCCATCATGACACGCATGGTGTTCTTTTTTTATATATTATAATGAAGCGCGAGCTGTGTGCTCGAGTCTTCCTGCCTGTCGGCTCTGCTCATGGATGTATAAGAAGGCTCTGCTGCTCCGCGATGAGTGTCTAGCTTCAGCAGCTACATTACCTACAGGTGCGTTCGTTCATATGAACTGTTGTCCGGAGTCACTGTGTTGGACCGCTGGTGAACAGCTGTTAGAACGGGCCGTTCAGGTGTTCAGAGCAGAGCTCCCTGTCGGAGCGGCAGAGCGTGATGTGCACTGAAAAGTTTT